ATATATCTTCTCTCTCTCTCTCTCTCTCTCTCTCTCTCTCTCTCTCTCTCTGGAACTGTTATCAGTGTACTGAATGATAATAAAAATAACAAATGCTGTTAAGAAGTAATTACTTCACGAAACATACCTTATCATTAAAATATTTAAATGCTTAATTCATTCATTACAAAATAATCTTTATATAATATAATAAGAATAGTAAGGAAATATATATACATGTAAAATGTAACCAATTTTCGGGAATTTTTCATATAACCATTCACAAATTTGATGAAAAAAAGTGATCGATTTTTGTATTTTTGTTAAATCATTTCCTTTTGCTTTCAAACGCCTGGAATTGCAAAATAATAGTAATTATTAAATTATTATAATTAGTAAATAGTAATTAAAAATAGTAATTATCAATTTATATTTATTTAACGAATTACATATTTCGATACATACAGTATAATCTCATTTAAAAAAAATAGGTTGAAAATCAATGATACGCTCTTAAATGAAACTTTTTACGATTTATAAATAATCTTTTACGATTCACTGCTAGCGTTTGTTTAATTATTTCTTTGCTTTCTTCTATTATAACATAAAATCACAATTTGTAATTTTATTCCTAGACAAAAATTTTAAACATAAGAATAAAGACTAGCCATTCAGGAAGTGCATCTTCCGGTGTTAATGCATTGCGAATAAAGCATTTAGCTAGATAATGCTCCTTCATTTGTGTGATGTTTACAAATTCTGCTCCAAGTTTTTTCATATTGTCAAATTTTTGATTCGAATTTAATCCACCATCAAATTGTAGCAATGGTGGAATATGTGTTTGTTCACTCCAATACCATCGCCAATTACTGATTAAACTAGAAAAATAGGATAAAGTCATGTAAATGAGTCTTTTTAATTTTTTAAAATCTAAAAAAGGTTTTTTTTTCAAATCATATTTTTATATCATAAATTTGTCTAATAATGTGTAAGTTAAATATTATTGATTATATTAAATTATTAAAGAGGATGAGGTCAAATAATGTGTCCTTAAGGTGCATTCCTATACTTCTAAGAGATCAATTCAAGTGAATAACTCGTTTGCTCTTTGTAGAATACTGGTTAGAAACTTACTTACTTATATGGTATGAATACACATTTATTACCACAATATTGTGTGATACATAATGCTCCCATAATATTATTGTCTGTAGCGTAATAATTCTCCAGTTGTCTTGAAATCTCTTTGAAAAAGCATTCTGACCTTAAAAGATATTGTTTTAATCTCTTTAGGTTGTTAAAAAATTTTGAAATTTACTTTGATAGGTTTTAGAATTTCGATTTAATCCTTTGAAAATTTCAAATATTTCATTTTAAGCTTTCATTTTTATCATTAATACATTTAATAGGATTGAATATTGGTAGATTTATTCTACCTTCAATACATGAAACGTATTGAATTTTGCGTAAAAAAAGATTAATATCTAACTTGAAGCCTGCTTTAACAAAGAAATAGCCACCAGCGACCATTTCAATCAACAATCCTTTGTTACCTTCTTGATCGAAAAGAAGATTTCCATTTAAACCCAACATTTGACGAGTATCTATCCAAAAAAAAAAAAAATGTCGACAATTCAATTTTTTTATCTATTTGGTAACCTGTCAATTATGTTCATTGCTACGAAACTCGAATATATGTAAATCATAAATGTTATTTAAGCCTCATCCTAAAGCAGAGCTTTCTAACATTCTCTAGGACTTGGGTTAATGGAAAGATATTTTTGAATATGTTTTTGCCACATGTAATATCTTTATATGCGCAAATAACTTTTCGACTTGATCTTTGATGATCAACTCTTACCTATAATTTTGAACAAATTCTTGCGCCAGTAAGTATCTGCTTGGATTATCCAGAAATCACGGCCTATACTAGCCAAATATGTACATAGTTTTGCACGAAAATATAGCAACATTTGATAGCGACTATCACCTATTTGAAATTGTACGTGCTGAAACGGAAGAAGCGCAAATTGGAAACCGAACGATCAACCTGGATAATATCTTCGATAGAATTAATTTTCACAAATTTCCTCTCTTATTATTAGTCATTTGATCCCTGATCTTTCATGAAATCAAATTTGCTTCCTCCTATAACGTCATTTAAAATCGCTGTTAAAGCAAATCAGAAGTATACAACAATAGATGTTAAATGCCTGTTAAAATTTACCATTCCAGGCAATGACCAAAAGATAACTTTAATTTCTGGCCATGATGCCCGAAGTGTATTGTAGGTTGTATGATCAAATGCAAATATTAGAAGTCTTTGATGGACGGTTGAGAAACTGACCACATTGCATAGCCAATTTAAAGTTAAATTTAGCGCATGCTGAAATAATACTAATTATATTACACAAACAAACTTGTTGTAAAGCAACATCTTTTCTTATTCCTAAACTATCTGTGGTAAAGAATACTTACCACATTAAGCATCAAAATTGCTGGAATATCGTCAATTTCCGATAAAAACTGAAATGAAATGAGAAAAAGAGATGAGAATTCTCAGTTATCAAATGAACATTCTGAATATTTTCAAACAATTGTTTAGCTTATCAAGCTTATCAGTGATTCCATAGTTATTAGTGCTATAGACATATTTCCTCTGGATTATCATCTCTTTACAAATGATTCGTATTTATGCGCATCATTACTTGAAATTTCAGTATAAATACCTGTAATTATCGTACATCAATAAAAAAAGTTAAGGTTCTTAGCAATTCGTAGCAAATTAATTCCCTAATTAATCTAATTTATTCATGTGACTTTATCCAAATGGATCATTTATGAAAGAATTAGGATTTCTTTTTATTTGATTCCAAATATCATTGAGCGTTCATTAATTCATTAAGTTATGAATTTGCAATCAATTAGTTGAAAGTTGAAAAGAAGACGAGAAAAAAAAACTTACGCGTTGCAAAATGTGATTATGGCGAAAAGTATCTGTATGAAATGCCTCCTTATACTTTTGTATGCCAAATAATCCATTATAACTTAACAAATATTTCTCATGAAAAAGGCATAAAATATAGTAATAAAGTATATAATACCATTTGAATTTTAACATTTTCATCAATACAATCATCTTCTTTCCATTCATTTACCAAATTTGTGGTAGAAATTGTGTAATTAGTCGAATGATTCGTTTAATTATTGATAGCCTAAATGATCGAATATTGTTTATAAGTTATATAAATTTAGCAGGTAGAAGTTTTTAAATTTTCTGCAAAACAAAGATTGAATTTAGGAATAGAAAATTTATAAATACTCGAAATGGTGTGATTGTAATGAAATGGTGTAATGCTTATGTAATATTAAGATAATGGAAAAAATGATAGGAAGAATTCTTGCAACCAGACCAAGGAAAATGTCACAAAGTTTCATCCCATCAATTTGTACTCTTCTTTCCACAATTTCATACCCAAATTATTAAGTTGAGAGGAAGGATGTGTGAATTTCACTTAACAAGTGTAGTAAAAGAAAGCAACTTGGAACGAACGATCAGATGACAAGGAATTTATCAAGGTCGTTAACTCAACTGTATGCTCGAAATTGAGGACAAATTATTGACGTAAAATTCGAGTCGAGATGTTATCAGAATTTTAAGTGACAATAATTCCATGCAAAAGTTGCAATTCGATGATGTTACTACTCATTTCTTTCTCGATGACACTGGAATTGGAACGTCGGAGATCTGAAAATCATTTCGGGGATGATTTTTTTTTTCAGACTTTTGAGAGAACTTGAAGCTTTTAAAATTTAAGCAAAGAGAAACAAAAGTGAAAAGTGCTGAAAGGCAATGATTACGTCGGAACTGAGTATATTAAAAGACAATGAGATAGCTTCAGTATCGTCAATAATTCTCCAAACACACATGAAATAATTTCATCTTTCCTTTTCGTAACTACATCGTCTGTCGGATTATCGATATTAACTTCCACAGTATCTAACAGACAGTGTAATGAAACCTTGTAAATAAAATTAAAACAATGGAAAGGATATAAGCTAACAATGAATGGACAGCATAATACAAAGACGTCTCGGTACCTGCACAATAGACAATGACAAAGGTCAGCTATACCTCCATGATAACCCCGATGGAGCTTACAAAACATCCGAAACTGTTTAGTTTTTACAATCGACCATACATCGACAATACATCCTTGTCGCACATCCTTTATGATTGAATCGCAAACAACGACATCTTCGCATATCCGCCACCAGTGGACAACAAACTACGATATGCTATTTCTATTCGCTAAATACATTTTCTGTAACATATCCCCAACTCAACGATCTATTAACTAACCGACAGTCAAATTATTGTCGAAGGCAACGACGAATTTGTTAGTTGATCATATTGCTTACTTATTGTTTAACTCATTTATTATCATTGCTTACCAATTCACCGCATAATATATACATATATATTTTGCATCCTTTTGTAGTAATATTGTGCAAGAACAATATAACATCCCAAATAAATTTGTATCACTGAAAAATGAAGAGAATTCAACAGATTATCTTTTCCGATATCATCTGGGTATTATTATTATAATAAGTGATAAGCAAGGGAAAATGATTTCGAAAATATTATCAAAAAACTGCAAAACTTTGCTAATAGCTATGTAAAGGATATTTCCTTTATTTTCGGGATGAATAATTTTTGTAAAATAAAAAAATGAGTAGAAATAGTGCAGTAATAAAAAAAAGATGCCATCTGTTTTAATAAATTTAAGTCTTCCAATCATGTTAATTGTCAGAGTAAGATGAATAAGAAGTTTGAAATGAATATAAGAAATGTTATGATAATGAGCAGGTAATTTAGAAAGATCTTCCCCATAACGAAACAAGCAAAATATCATTAAAGAAATTTGCATAATCTGCATAATTTTAAGTGGTATGTAGAAATTTGAAGTGAGTTCGTATAATGTTGTCCAAAGTATGTTACAGTTTATCACCACTGACACTATCAGCAACATTTTAAACAATAATGCCTTGTTAACCTTATCAAAGAACAGTGGACATTAAAATGCACAAAATGCTGAAATTAATAAAGCAGCATAGTAATTTAGATTCTATCTAATTTAATAAGTGTAGGAAAGTGAGGTAGTAAATAAGTAGGAAAGCCGGATCATACATAGGACATGATATGGAGTATCCACTAATAATGACCCTGTACATCACAATTTGCAAATCGTTCAAACCGTAGCTTTCAATAAAGCAGTCAGTTTATTTCGGAGAGATCCGTCCATCTCTCCTCCTATTCATATACGCACAATTCGTCATCTATGGGACCGCTTCTGGGCTTTCAATAAAGCAATCTTTGAGACCCAAGGCAGAACCGGTCCCTGTTGAAATTTATTATCACATACTGTCCTTACTTTATTCGATCACTTTTTCGGAATTATACATGGAATATCCTGCATATCTCGATTAGATAACTAAAATATCTTTTAAGCCAACTCTTTTCAGCTGCACATCATTCATGATTTTACCGAACAGCGAGCATTACATCACACACATTATTTGATTAGCAATTAACCGACTCTTATTAGCATCTACGGTATAGTTTCTTTATTTGTCAGCAATTTATGGTTCTTTTTTATTTGATCAGTAGTTGTTTTTGAACTCAATCTATGATTGCATATAAGAGAAAACTCCTGCATACAAAAGTCGATGAATAAAAATTAACAAATAAGTACATTGAAGTGCAGTTTTACGTTCGGTGGATATCGTTTGAATACCGGCACCATAAATATTTCGCAAATCTGTAACCAAATACCAGAGCAAACATAATAGCGACCAGGACAAAATAACACCCGTAAACGAAGAACTGGAATGTATTTATGCATCTATTGGAATTTAATTACATCGACCAGTATTTAAAGAATTAATTTCTATATAGCCAACTAATTCCACTTCATCAATTACTTTGTATTTATCTCTAAAAGTCTTCATTTCCCAAATGTCTTGTTCTTCCTACCCGCAGTTAAGGATAACCCCTTTAGCGTTATATTTGAATACATTATTTAATATTTGGAATATGTATATTTCTGCCAAATGTTAGTGAATAATGCGCTTATTAAAAAGCAAACAAAAAACCTGAGTTCGGATTGATAATGAGAATCCGTGTTTGTCCGCTACTGCAAATGTAAGGACAGTTTGTAAAAACAAAGCCAAAAAGGTATTCCAACCAAATACCAGTCCATAACTTGCGGAATCTAATTGCACTGCTATGTTCACACTAAATTCAAGACAGCGATTTAAATATATTTATAAAATTACGTAGTTTTCCTAAATATAAGTTTGGCTTTAAATTTTCTTCTTTGGTTAATTTAAAATGATACCTATCACACAAGTAGGAACGGTAGTTATTGTAAAGTGAAATTGCAAATGTGATGTTAAAACATTTTAAGACATGGCAGAAATCTTAAACTCATCAGAAGTTAGTTCAATTATCAGTAGACAACCTAGTGGATAAGATTAAATTTAATAATTGGCACTGTGAATATCTTCGCGATAATAGCTATAAAACCGACCTTGCCACCGTTATCAGCAGATGATAAATGGTGATTACGATAACATAGAGTACGTAAGTAACATAAACAATTTCCATTTGGGACATGATAATAAGGAGAACAGCGATAAACGCTGATGTGACTAGCAGTACGTGTTCACCCCACTTTGACCAATTTACGTTCATATACTGTACCAAAAAGCTGATCAATGCTCCTATAAACAAAACTTAATTCTCTAATTGCTTTTCTTTTTTTTTTTCTCCAGATGATGTGAAGAACCTTAAACAAATCAACCTACCTAATAGTAAGTTAAATTGTCCTTTGGCTTACTCTCACACCATCACCAAGCGCTCCGATCTAATGTAAACATTGTCAAAAGATAGAGTAATTGGACTAGTTGAACATGCAAGGATGAAAGATGAAAAAAGCCTGTAAATATACCGATAAAAGTATTGGCACATTCGGTAATACCATTGTAAATATCAGAAGATGTTTGCATTGTGGCCCATAATGTTTGTACATAGTTCATAACCTCAAATGGAAATTACAGTGAATGTACTCAAAGAAATTCCAAATGAAGCAAATCTTGAGGGAAATCATAACGTTTACCTGACCCTTTTTTTAAAACAATGAATATAATGAAATAGAAATAATAAAAACGATGTCGCAAAAAATGACCTGGAAAATACCGCAGCTAGTTAGTGCCCACCAAATGCTCCATTTCAAGATTGTCTTATTACGTTTGAAAATTTTGAAATGATACCAAATCGCGCGGAAATAGACGACAATTCCATGATCAACATTTGGCGCATTGGCATTCAGAGTTATTCTGGAACAACTCAAATTGGAACGACAAAAAAGCATGCATTGAAAAAATTAATCCGGATGAATAGGAAAAGGTGAAAAAAAAAACAATGTTTGAAATATTGCTAAAGGTAGCTACAAACTACTAAAGAAATGATAACAAGGCTAAAAAAAAGCAAAACGAAGTGGCAAGGGATGAAATATGTTATGATGTGTAAAAAATGAAGGCATACATATAGCATACTTTTCTTTAAAATTTCGTTGATCATTTTGTAACTCCTCATCATAATCTGTTGAAATATGAGGAAGTTTAGGTGTATTTCCAACAGTTACAACAACTTTATGACTAGTTATCTTGGATGGTATCGATGGAAGAATGAAAGCAATCCCAAGAACTAAACAAAGTGAACCAAATGATATCTGCAAAAGGAATTGTTCAATTGATGAAAACATTCATATTCTTAATAATAATTCATTTTGAAATATTTTCAGAATAAAAGGATAACCCAAGTTCTGGACTGAATTTAGTATCTAATAAGTATCAAAACAATGCAAGATATTTAATTCAGTAAATTTGTATTGCAATTTTCTAAAGATAAAGGGTATTTCGCATTTCAATTTGTTGAGGTGATATTTTTAATAATGCGAAAAGAGCACCAAATAGAATATTTGATAATAATAGAAAGGGATGTTAAATTCGTTGTCGTGACTCCTAGGCTTCGCGAATGATGATCTATGAAGGGCCATACCTATGCTTTCTGCAGGTATGCAGATGGCTAAAAAGGCCAATACGGGAGAAACAAGTTTGGTTGCAAAAGACACAGGGGGAAGTTTTCTTGGACGGTATTGACGAGGTACGGTTTTTTATGCGTTGTCTTTTGTTCGTTGTCTTCTGTGTGTGCTCTCAAAGGTAGCAGCAGCAGCAGCAGCAGCATTGTCGCCTCTCTTCAAGTATTCATTAAGCCCAGGCTCTTTCATGAAGGTTTCCGAAAGTTCTGTGTGCCTTTGCTAACCTGTTGTATATCTCGATCATGATGTCGGAAGAAATGACGCTGTTCAGATAGCAAAACTATTGGACTAACTCAAATTATGATTCTCCGGTGGTATTGTGAGGATGACGGTAGTCATCCTGTGGTGTAAGCTGGTAGAGAACTTTTGTCTTCTTTAAGCTGACTTCTAGCCCAAAAAGGTCTGCAGCCTTTGTTAAGCAAGATGTTAAGTGCTGCAGAGTTGCTTCTGTATGAGCGAGGAGGATGACATCATCTGGCAAAAAGTACCTCTCGGATATGGTAATTTAGGGTATTGGTGTGAGTATTCGATCGATATAGGTTGAATAGGATTCCCTCGACACGATATCGGATGTCAATGCCATTTTCGTCATTGAGTCTGTCGTAGTCATTTGCAGCATCATGCTAAGATATAACCTTGTTTCGCCCTAGTAATTATTTTGAAAGGCTCTGGGAGTGGATTATCACATCTGATTTAAACGCGTTGACCTTCATGTAGTAACATGATCGTTTCCAAGAACTTGTGAGGACATCTTTTTCTTTTTTTTCAAGGTTTTTTGTTTTCTTTTCAAGAACTGCCACAGGATATTTCTGGTTACAGTGTCACTTTCATGAAGTCTACGAAGGTTATATAAAAACCTTTGTTCTGTTTCCTGCATTTCTCTTGCAGTTGTCCGAAAACAAATACCATATCCGTTTTGAAGTCACATTGGTTTTCAGATAGAATTTCTGAAATAGCAGGTGTTAATCTGTTCAGAAATATTCTTGCAAGGTTTTTGCCAGCAATAGAGAGCAGGGTAATATCCCAGTAATTTGAGCAGTCTGATTTTACTCTTTTCTTCTTGTATAGGGTGATAATGATTGCATCACGGATATCTGGTGGAAGTTCGCATTTTTCCCAACATCGGACAATGAGCTCGTAAAACTTAACATGGAGTGTTTGACTTACATACTTCCAGACCTCAGGTGGGACATCACTAATCCAACTGCTTTGCCAGTTTTCACCTGCTGTATGGCCTTGAGTGTTTTCGCCCAGTGGGACTTACATCCAGTTCGTTTTTCACCGATTGTTATGTAATGTATTTAATTATTGAACCTTAGATTGCAATGTTCAGGCCATCGATTCAGCATGAAGGTTTTATCAGTGAGGAGCGTTTGGCCATCTGTTTGGAGGAAGCAAGAAGCTTTGACCGTGGTGTAAATCCATGCACAATTTCCAGAGTCTTTAGAATCTTCTGTAGTCACTCGAATCTGTGCACAGTTGAATATTCTCTGCTAGGTTGATCCATCGTTTGTTCTGGATGTCTCGAAGTTTCTTTTGGAGCTTACTGCATGTAAGGCGAAAGATTGCTTTTCGTGCATGACATGATGGCTGAGCGAGATATGCTTAGTGAGCAGATCTCGTCTTTGTTTACAAATTTTGGATTTTCTTACTGCTTCCATCAAATTAATCTTTGTTCGTTTTACAGGAGAATCCTAAGAATTCTACTGCAGGATGCTGTTTTTAATATATTGCCAAAGCATTTCAGCAGAGGAATCTGCGGGGTACTTTTCAAGTCTAGTTCGAAGGTTTACCTGTAAGCTGTGTTTCATTGTACTTGTTTAGAGATTGCTGATTTTAAGCCTCCTCCTGGAATTCCACCTCTTTCAGGTTGGATTTAAAGCGGAGATCAAATTTACATCGCAGAAGGCGTTACTCTGTTTGACATTCTGCACTAGGTATTGCACGAGTTAGACGAACAATATTTCTCGTCAACGTTTCTCTGATGCACTAAGACATAGTCGATGTGATGCCAATGCTTGGATCGAGGATGCATCCAGATTGTCTTCAAGCTGTCTCTCTGCTGAAAGATAGCACTTGTAATGTTGAGTTTCTGCTCTGCACAAAACATTCGTTGTCGTTGCAGTTTCCGATACTATTCTTGTCTAATACTCTTTTGCAAGCTTTGAGTTCTTTCCAACTCTGGCGTTGAAGTCATCAATAATTATGACTGAATGATTTGCAGGAAGCTTTTGGATGGGAGGGCGTGGATCGGTATAAAATCTGTCAGCTTACAGAGTTGAAGGATATATGCTAAAGAGAACAATTTGTTGTGTAGTGAGAGCCGTAGGGAAATAATGTGATCGGAATGATCTGTTAGCAGACTTTCGAATTTGGAGGCAATGGAGTTTTTAACCATGAAGCCAATTTCTGCAAGGTGGATCTCGGTTTTGGGTTTTGCCTGATGGCAGCATGCTCGTTGAGACTATCGTCCTCATAGTGACGAAACTTCATTGAGAGCAGAAATGTCGATGTTTTAAAGTTTTGCACTTCGGAAAATGGGAAAGGGCATTTTGCTATTGAAACGAATTTTACTATTGGCATTTTACTATTCTTCTGTAAGAATGCATGGGAGAAGAGTTAAATATAAATTAAATGAAATTATCCACCTGATTTAAAAGAAGGTATGACCCATATTGAAATGATATAAGGAACTGAGCAAAACCAAAGGCAAAAAATTTTCCGGCCAAGGCAGCAGCCCTTATATAAGATGTAATAAGCTTATAATATTTTTGATCAACCACCGAATACATATATGAATAATAAGCTATTTCGGCAGCTGATGACAATCCTGTAATGACATAATGGACTTTGATTTTCGATAACTGATAGCGATGTTTTCTGCATATGACAGGCTTAACTGTGTCAAACTTCTTGTTTTTGGCAAATGTATTTATGAATTGACTTGTGCATAGATGTGCGGTCATTAAATGGACGATGAAATTTTGCTTTAGATAAATTTTGATCTTTCGCGGCAATATTATGGATGATGCTAAGCTATCCACCGATGAAATTTTTGAAATAAGCCATCCTATCTTGAAATTTTCGATGAATGAATTGAGAGAAACAAATTGTTGATTACATTCAATGTAACTGCAAAATAATATACCAAAAGTGATTTGCATAAACTGCATGTGCCACACAGTTTTACCCCATAACAACAGCGCCCAAGTGCTAAACAAGCTGAGAGCTTCTAGCACAATAATCGGTTTGTACCGTAAAATGTCAGTCAAAAAAATATAGGCACCTGCAAAACAACAAATGTTAAATTGGCTTTACATATTTTACACATTTTCGGTTGTTGATTTACATAGGCTGACTACTCTGTATATTGCTGCAATTATCCGTTCCTATAAACACTACTCTGCTAATCCATAACTCAACCTACCTGCATATCGTAATAGCTGAGAGAGTTTAAATTTAGAATCAAATAATTTGATCAAATCGAATTTGAAAAGATTGGAAATTTGGTGGGCAGAAATGAAACATACTAAAAATAGCAAGTATGAGTATGTCCAGAATGGGTAAATTTCACTGTACAATTCAACATCAGTGAAGTTCTTGAAAGATGAAACGAGATACGGAGTAAGGAAGGGTGTTGCTGGTCGGAATTCTTTCACTATTCCATATACGCATATAAGGGCTGTTGTAACTTTCCAGTGCATATCATTCACTTAACGGTAATAAACCTGAAAATGGGGATTTCAAAAGCTAAACTCCGGAACGATTATCCGGTTATCCGTCGTATCCTTATTTAATCCAAAAAAATTGAACTGCTTGCATAAAAAAGACTAAACGCATCTATAGCTAAGAATTTAAAGAAAAAAGGAAAAAAAAACACGAAAAAACAAAAAAACCTGTTCATTTAAGGTTCGGGGAAAGAGGATGGAATCCTCATATCGATATTCATCCTCTTCTAATACCTTAACTTCGCTTTGTTAATAAGAGCAAGAGTGTTTCTAACATTAAAGTAATCATTAAGTCACAAGATATTAAATCAATTTCAAATGAAATGATGAGAGATAAGACCAAGTTCAAATGATAATTAGAGATAAGGGCAAGTTCAAGTATGACTAAAGATAGGGCCAAATTCAAGATTCAGAAGAGATGAAGTTAATATGCAGTCTAATATTTTGAGTGTGTTCGAATTCATACCGACGATGATAACATCTTCACAAAAAACATGTCAGATATTTTTCTCGTTGATGATAAACCACAACTATACCATATTTGGCCATATCCAATACCATACATGGTCATATCCAATACTTGGCTATATCCAATATCACGCTTGGCCATATTTAGCAGAAAAAAACCAGTATTATATAGAAGAACACGCTAATGAGCAATAAAAACAAAAGAACAAATTACACCGAAAGCTATCAGTGATTTATTTTGGGAAAATGAGAAGACTAGTGTAAGTAATTGAGATTCTCGAAAGTGATCACGTGTATGTGAAGAGACGAAGAGATCGATGAGAAGTGAAGAGAAATAATGTAACGAGAATGGAGAAAAACAGGAGAGAACCATTGGGGTACAGCAAAACAGGGATTAAAACAGCATTACTGACAGATTGTTTGCTTTCCGTGTGACTTGAAGATGGCACTTACGGGTTTAACTTCCGGTGAATAATTGCTAGAAAGATTTGTGCTAGCGGAACTTTGAGGGGAAGGGAAGAGGAGAATGAAATGCGGAGGACAAGCATTTTCCGTTTGTTTTTATATTACCTATTGATCTTTGCTCTTTTATTATCACTGATGAATTGAATGGAGACACTCAGTCGCATGAAAAAGCATCTTAGATAAGAAAACTTAACCTATGTTGAAATGAAAAGTTATGTCAAATACGTAACATGTAGAAGATTGGTAGAAGAGATGTGCTATGGAAAAAAAAGAAATGTAAGTGATTGAAGAAACATTTATGCCAATAATTGATTCAGTTTATGAATTAGTGACAATCCTTCTTGAATCTCGACGGTTTCTATCGGTTGAAGCTCTCCAACATTCGATACGGTCTGCATTAACTGCGGATTGAGTCTGTAGTTTGATCGAACTTATAATCCAACCGGACCTATACTATCATCCAACCAACTGGTTGTTATAGGCATGCAATATCGAAAGTTCTATTATTCTATATAAGCCTATTCATCTTAGGCTTTTTGGAATTTTTCAACGTTAACAGTCGGATTCATCGTTAGGTGACAAACGACTGAAATACGTGCAGAAGAACAGAAGAAAACATTAAGGAACTAAGTGTAATCCATAACTCTCTATATACTGAGTATCCAGTGGTAGCCAAGATCTCCATTTTACTTCATTAATTATCCATCTCGAATTCCATAACGTGACCCTTCTTATATTGTTAATGTATTGTGTTATTTTACTTTGACGTATTACGTCTAGTTTAATGTATTCACGTATAAAATGATCATAAACGTGATCATTTTATACGTGGATACATTAAACTGTTGTTTCAGCCAGTGCCACTGTCACTTCCCACTTCTTCCTATGAAACCAACCCATGTCCAACATACCTTTCCACATTACAACGCCTTGTGACGTGATTCAGGGAGAACCACAGGTTCGATTACGTGATACAAACAAAGATGATCCCCATAATTTTCACAATGGCTCGATGGTCGTAGTTTGTCGCAGCGAAACAACCAAACATGCTTCCTTAAAAAGAAGATGAGTATGCGAATCCAAGTATTAATTTATTAAACAGTGGCGGGAAAGTGGTCCCTTTTTCTCCATCTCTCCCTCTCTCTCTTTCTTTCTCTCTCCCTTCTTCTCTTCTCCCCCTCTAGTATTACGTCTGCTTTTATTCTCTTTTTTTTCAAGCATTTTTTTCTACCTTCACGTGATTAAATATTTCATGAAATTCTCACTATAGAAAGCAAGGTTAATGTTTAGAAGATAATGTGTATAAATCGCTCTAAGAGCTTTTCAGATTATCGGAATTCCGCAATATCCCGAGGTCTATCGTCAAATTGAGATTGATTTACTCTCTGACGTACGTATATCATGTTGAAGTAGCTTTTGCATTTGGTAATTACAGGAACAAGTAACTACAATGGAACGGTTTTTACGGCTCGGTGGTCTCGGTGGTCTCAGTGGCTCTCAGGTTAATGGGCTTGAATTAGTTCCATTTCATAAATATAGTAATATAAATCACTGATTTATCAACGAGTTTGAATTAATTAAAGTTTCAATTTCTTTATACTGGTACGTATCATACGTAGAGGATAAATTGTCAACTAGATCAGATTAGCTGTAGAAAATTCATATGTTTTAGGTTATGAATCATCGTACTTAACAGTGTGGTTTTCAGTTTGGAAATGCCAGTCCGGTGGACAGCAATCAAGTAGACACATCTGAAACAGTTTATATATCATCGTTGGCTTTACTCAAAATGCTGAAACATGGTCGTGCAGGTGTACCCATGGAGGTAATCATTGTATATTTCTCTACTTTTTAAAATAACTTGATAATGGAAGGGATTGGGAACATCATTAATGATAATGGAAATTTGCAGGTTATGGGTTTAATGTTAGGAGAATTTGTAGATGAATATACAGTGAATGTTATCGATGTGTTTGCGATGCCGCAATCTGGCACGGTAACTTATTTCATGCTTTACTGTCTGGCTAATAATGATCCCTCTTCAGAACGTTAGAATTAATTGATTTCTTGATATTTCTTGAATGGGATGGTTTTTTTTTCCGATTTATATTTTCCATTAATGCACAAATGCTACGAATAATTACAGGGAGTGTCAGTAGAAGCAGTAGATCCGGTTTTCCAAGCCAAAATGCTGGACATGTTGAAGCAAACAGGACGACCTGAAATGGTTGTTGGCTGGTACCATTCACATCCGGGATTCGGCTGTTGGCTGTCAGGTGTCGATATTAATACGCAACAGAGCTTTGAAGCTCTTTCAGATAGAGCAGTTGCTGTAGTGGTCGATCCAATCCAGTCTGTCAAAGGAAAGGTTTGTTCAGTTAACACATATATGTTAATTCATTTTGGCATTTATCTTCATATTCTTTGATGACTATTTACGAATATCAGTCCTATTTGCACCAGTGGAATTCAGGTAGTAATTGATGCATTTCGAACGATTAACCCGCAGTCTATAGCACTTAATCAAGAGCCGCGTCAGACCACTTCAAATCTTGGACATTTGCAAAAACCATCTATTCAAGCATTAATTCATGGTCTTAATCGGCATTACTATTCAATTCCAATCAATTATCGAACCCACGAGCTTGAGCAGAAAGTATACTATTTATCATGTAATGGAGTTCAGTGTTGCTAAACATGCTAAACGTTTCTTCTTTGCGTCGTATATTTGTAAAGTTGACTGTTACGATATCAAGTGGGGTTTTTTTTTCTCTCAGTAACCTGTATATGTTTTAGATGTTACTGAATCTAAATAAACAAACGTGGATGGATTCACTTGGTCTGGAACATTTCTCTGATCACTGTGAAAAAAACCAAGCATCTATGCAAAAAATGTTGAAGTTGGCGAAGCTTTACAAAAAGGTTTGTTTCTTTTGTTGCATATGTTTCCATTTCACAATTTTTCTTTTTTATTTAGTCAAACGCACAGAAATGTACAACTCTCACTTCAGGATCTCGAAGAACAGGAGAAAATGACAGAAGAACAGCTTGCTGTAAAAAATGTGGGGAAACAGGATCCAAAGAGGCATTTAGGTGAAACGGTGAATGAAATGCTTGCTGACAATATTGTTCAGAGTCTTGCTTCCATGCTTGATACATCGTCTTTCCAATGATGCTTTTGCTGTTGTCCTTGGAGAAGTGCCAAAAAAGATACGTTATTGTGAGCAGAATAAAAACTAGTTTTTGTTTTCCATGACATCTTTTTCTTAGAATTTTAGAAAAATTGAAGATGGGTTTACAAACACCGGTGATGTTTCCCTGTGATCATAAACGTTTAAGACAATACAAGCAATAGATTTTCGATCTCTTTCCGGAAATCACAAACTCCTGTTGTAATCGTTGTTGCTGAATTTGCTGACCCAAATATTTGGTAAATGACAGAACTGTAACGGTAGAGCTTAGGGTTACCAAATAATCTGAAAAAATTGGAGTCTAAGGATTTTCAACTTGGGTACAGTGTTAAAGCTGTAGACTTAATAAGATATGAAACAGTCTGTTGTTGTCCAGTTATTGCAGAACCATATATTTAATAAATCATGGTCTTTTTTCTATTCTCTTTTGTTCACGTAACGTTTTGTTTCCTTTAAATTGTTTCCATTTTGCGGATTTTCTTGTATTTGGATCAATAAATTGTCGATTTCCTTTTTAGCTATTTAACAGAAGAGTACCCTCTCACATCCTATCATCATCAGTTATAACGAAATCTAAAAATTATACGGAAATTTGATGGAAAAATTGCGTAATTTGGGGGCTTATCTGGTTACTTGAGGTTCCAGAAGCTTGGTTGGCTACAAGCTTAAAATTTCCATATGTCGGTCAATTTTTGGGGGAAGTTGGGATTATCTCCGCGAAATGTAAAACCAACTGCTGGTAAAACACTCAGCAATCATACACTGACTTCTTTTGGTTTTTGTCATTTTCTTTTACATTTCGTCTTTACATAGTTTCCACTCTGCGAATTTTCCTGTCCAACCTCTTTCAATTTCCTTTAAATCGATAAATTGTTCTCACACTACTCCATGACCTCTCTCAATTTTCTTCCTCACTTTCACATCTTATACCAGTTAATCTTCGATGTAAATCAAGACATCTTCACAGTAATGAAAGCCATAAATCTATTTTGTATGGAATAGAATTGATGTTTGTTTATGATTCTGTTTTTGAAAGAGTTATGACGTCATTTGGTCTCAAAGATCAGGTATACAAAGATTAAATATCAAAGATCAAACACCATTGATCTCAAAAGTCAAATATATTCGAATAATTGAGTTTGTAAATTGAATGAAGATGGAGAAAGGAATCCAGAGGATTGTTGCTTGGCTACCAGTCTCGGGAAGATTCGCTCGTGTTTCACTTTTGGGTAGTAGACTGGATGGTGATCCCACAGTGTTGTTGTCCGATTTTACTGGCTTGATTATATTGATGATCCCAGGTTCGTGGACTTTTTTTATCATTTGATGTTAAATTAGTAATATTAATTCATTTAAATCCGCGCGAAAAGTACCAGCTCGATTTGAATTGGCCTAATGTATGTGACATACAATTTGGGTGATCTTTATAAGTGGATATATTTGGTGTACGATTAGAGTTCAGTGGAACTGCGTTGCTTCCATTTTTGCTACGAGATAATTTCCCGAATATTCCTGGGGACATTGTTCCATTATATTACGCAGTGTACTATATGTAAAATAATTTGATGTTTTAAATTACAGAGAAAAACTTTCAAGTAATCATTATACAGGTAATCCTGGAAATGAGCAATTCTACGAGCATTTTGGACAGGTTGTTCTGAATAAGATATCAAGAATTATGCAAATATCGGAGGGAAGTATACTCTTCTGCACAGTATCTCACCTGAATCATGTTCCTATACCCAGAGAGTATTCAGAAATGAGCATCTGCAACTGTGACGGTACCATTTTTCATTATTTTTGCGATATGTTAACTGCAATCTGATCTTTTGAATCTACTTAAAGGTCAATATTCACCTCTAATGATTTGTAATTGCTAGAAAACTTTTAAAAATCAAATTTTATTATCAAACGTTTATTTGATGAAAGGTTGGCTTTATCGATTAGTGATGCGTCTTCCTTTTTCCTGTTTTCATTTCTTTTT